CTTTGTCCCCGTGGCCGGTTTGGGGGGGCGCTGGCGGCCCTGGCTGGGAGGGGGGACAGGCCGAGCCGGTCCCCCCAGCTCGGCGAGGGAAGGGCTTCCGGGAGGGCCGGGCCGTGCTGGCGTCACCGGCCCCGCGGGGCACCCCCGGGTGTCCCTCCGCAAAGGGGGGTGCGGGGTGTGGGGCTGCGCCTCGCTGGGGAGGGGGGCACCCCCGCCAAATTTGGGCTGTGGACCCCCCTCTTTGCCCTGGGCTTTGCTCTTGTGTGGGACTGGGGGGGGCCATGGCTGCTGACTGGCCCTGCCCCCCAAATTTGGGCTTTGAGTTCTCCCTGCCCCTGTGGGATGGGGGGGGGGCATTGCTGCAGACCACCCCTAAAATTTGGGGTTTATTCGCCTCTTTCCTGTGGCACCCCCAGGGCTGCCTCATCTGTGTCAGATTGGGGGGGGGCTGTGGCTGCTGATCCCCTAACCTTGGTCTTTGTGTCCCTCTGCCTGTCACTGACCCCTGCCTTGCCCCCCCCAGGACTGGCAGCCCCCCTTTGCCGTCGAGGTTGACAACTTCAGGTTCACCCCCCGCATCCAGCGGCTCAATGAGCTGGAGGTGAGTGGGAGGGACGGGGGAGGGGTTTGGGACCGATTTTGGGGTGTGCACCAGTCTCACCTCCCTCTTTGCACCCCCCATTCCCCGTCCTCCAGGCGCAGACCCGGGTGAAGCTGAATTACCTGGACCAGATCGCCAAATTTTGGGAGATCCAGGGCTCCTCCCTCAAGATTCCCAACGTGGAGCGACGCATCCTCGACCTCTACAGCCTCAGCAAGGTACGAGGTGGGGCAGAATGGGGAGAGGGTGACAGCTGGGGACCCCCACCCACCCCTGGGTGAGCCCCCAGCCCCGCCTGGGGGTCCTGCCCTGCTGGGGTTGGGGAAGGTGCCCCCCAGAGGTAATTGTTTCTCCTGGGGAATATTTTCCTATTTTTTGGGGGGGGGAAATATTCCCCTTTGGGGGTGTCTTCCCATCTGGCGGGGTAATTGTGTCTCTGGGGGTGTATTTTTTTATTGAGGGGTTAATTGCCCCCCCCCTTTGGGGCTGTATTCCCATTTGGGGGGTCACTTTTTTTACCTGAGGGCTATCTTAGGTTTTGAGGGGTTGACTGATTCTGTGAGGAGTACATTCCCCTAAATGGGGAAATATTTTCCCATTTAGGGAATAATTTTTTCCCCCAGTGCAGGGGATGTTTTCTGCTGGTGTGATAATTGCCCCCCTGTGGAGAGCGTGTTCCCATTTCGGGGGGTAATTATTTTCCTTGGGGGTATATTTTCATTTTAGGGTTATAATTGTTTTTTTGGGGCAGTAATGTACTATTTTGCAAGTTGTTTTCCTATTTGGAGCATTAATTTTCCCCCTGGGAAGGGTGTGTTCCTATTTAGGAGGGGTAACTGCCCCACGTGGGGCGATTTTTCTATTTGCGGGGGATGATTGTTTCCCCTGGGCGAGTATTCATTAATTGGGGGATTAATTACTTCTGGGGTGGGGGGGAATGTACCCATTTATGGAGGAATGTGCCCAAGTACATTTCGAGGTGTGTGAGGGTCCTTGGGGTGTCCTTGCATGCTCAGGGGCTCAGTGTCACCCCACAGGTGATGATGGAGTAGAGGGGGTACAGGTGACTCTGGGGTGGCCCTGGGTACTCAGTGTCCCCTCACAAGTGGTGATGGAAGAAGGTGGCTATGAGGCCATCTGGAAGGACCAGCAGTGGCCGTGGGTGGCCTGGGGATTCCTCTGGGTGGCTCTGGGCTGTCCCTGGGTGCTCAGGGGCTCAGTGTCACCCCGCAGGTGATGATGGAGGAGGGTGGCTATGAGGCCATCTGCAAAGACCACCAGTGGGTGCGAGTGGCCTGGGGTGACTGTGGGTGACTCTGTGGTGTCCCTGTGGTGTCCTGTATGCTCAGGTGCTCAATGTCCCCTCACAGGTGGTGATGGAGGAGGGTGGCTACGAGGCCATCTGCAAGGACCGGCGGTGGGCGCGGGTGGCCCAGCGCCTCTCGTACCCGTCGGGCAAGAACATCGGCTCGCTGCTGCGGGCGCACTACGAGCGCATCATCTACCCCTACGAGATGTACCAGTCCGGGGCCAACCTGGTGGTGAGTGCAGGGCCGGGGGGACACCCTGGGCCGTGCTGAGGGGTCCTGGGCC